AGTCCATTTTTTGCTTAAATAAAATTCATCCATATTGCTTAGCTTAAAAATTGCTTAAAATTAGAAAGTCCATTGCCAAGAAAGCCAAGATTTTGCTAAGGTTGGGTAATAAATCAGCTTAAGATATTTATTAGGGACATCTTAATTTTTTTGACTTAAGACATTTGCTAAGCTGAGATTGATAAATCCCGGGCCAGGTCCCCTAATCTCTTGCGCCATCACTGTTTGTATACTGTATTGGCCTATCTACCTAGTTATCATTGACCTTTTTACACAATGTTTTGGCATCTTCCACAAGTTGACGAGACTATAAATCTGTCACTACGTCCTTGACTCCAGGTACCGCTCAAAGACAATGTGTTGTTTCCATTGCGATTACAATCACCTCGTCACGTCATAGCTACCTAGAGACACAAGTACGTCACGCCCAGTCTGTTAAATCCATAAAGCTACGTTCTTGTCCTCAACAGTAGGTCAATTTGTTCCCATCTATATTGCAGAACCTAGACTGTGCTCAATACTTGATAGTTTATTTAGACCATGGAGGCATGATCAGATACATCAGATTTTAGATTCCAACTATACTGCAAATGCCATGCCTTAGTGTATCTGTGTTTAAAGAAAGTGGTGTAATAAAGAGGCACCCCTGGCTAAGAACTTTTCGGCCCTACCAACCTGGGGGCTAGTTCCGGGTAAAGGGCCCCGCTGGCTTCGACGTTTTTAGGGGGGCGTATTTTGATGTTTTTTACACGTTCGCTACTTACAAAGGCCAATTTGAGGCAAAAAAAACCCCCAAAAACTGAATGCCTCTAGGCCCTGGTCCGGGTCCCCTTGGCTTCAGCCATTAAAGGCAATTGTGCTTACACATACCGGTAGGCCTACAAACTTAATAATAATATTGAAAACCTAATGACTCGTGCTGATTTTTATATTTTTTTGACAAGAACATACCTATTCAACTGTGTGTATGTGGGGATGTGACTAGTATTAAATTGTTATGACGTACACAGTGCGCATACGTTACATTGAAATAGGGGCTTACGTAAACTTTAGGGTCTGGGGGAGAGAAAGTTGGGCCCCCAGCCCATGTATTTCAGTAAAGTTATCGATTAATACATTCGTTAGATAAAAGCCAGAAATTTGGCCTATATTGCATGTTATAAAATTTGGTGTCATTACTAAACCGACGTATTCAGTCTAGTCCAATTAGGGGCCCCGTGGATTCGACTCATGGAGTCAGTAGACAACTGTAAATAATATGTTCATGTAAGCCTAAATACAATATTTTTTACAAATAATATTGGCCTAATACAGTATTTAGAATGACTGGTAGGCCTATTCACGTTTAGGACATCGTAACTTATTCGTAAAGCATAAACATACTGGAGGCCAATGTTGCCTGGTTGTTTCTCATTTGTACCATCCCAAAGGGCACACTTTACTCTTCCCTTTGAACTTGCTATCTCCCTCTCCCGACAATGCTATACGAATATGAGTCCTTGGTAGTTGCACTTTTCCACTTTACATTAGTAAACACAGGTAAAGGTATATATGTTCTAACGGTTGTTTTTGGTAATCCAACTTAACTTTGGATCACCAAAAAGAACCTTTAGAACATACTTATCGTTTGGATCCAATGAATTTATTCACTGATAATAGGTAAAGATTAAGAATAGCGCATACCAGTGTTGTACGGAGAGGCTTAATGCTCCTGGCTAAGGCTTTTTGGGCTCTACTACCTTGGGGTTAGAAGGTCACGGGAGCCCCAGTGGTACCGCATGAAACACCCATCTGCGTCGGCGATTTTATGCTTTAATGGCGTATTTTGATGTTCCTTTACACGTTCTACTCCTAAGGGGCTCCGTTCGGCCGAGTTGAAGTCCATGGTCTTGGCAAAGAAAATGTTGATATCCTGGGATCCACCTGTGATTCTAGCAGTCGTAGAGAGACACTTAGTAATTATAACTTAAGTTCATTTCATTATCCACAATGACGGACTGAAATGAACCAGAGGATCAAGGTAAACCCCACTCTACCGGTTTTTTTGAAGTATTTAACCGTAAAGATTTTGGTCTACCGAAACCTGGACGAGGAGGGTCTCGAATCACCGCAGTAGAATCCGTAAATAATTCAGTCAACATGATCAAATCTCCACCATCTAAAGACCTACCATCTGATTTCATAAGAATCCTCTGTCAGTACGTTTTGTCCTATAGCTATGGAGACAATCGAATCGTATGTTCGACGGAGAAATCGTTCGTAGGGTGAATCTTGTGGGACGAATCGTTCCTGGAGCGAATAGACGAAACACGACAGAACACAGAGCGTTTGTGTGCCTATAAATATTTTGTGAAAATGTGTTGTATGGATAGGTTGGCCTATATGATATTTCAGTCACTTTATGTGTCTAGCAAAGAATGATTTGGCCATGATTAGGCAAAATGTTGTTGTCTACATAGCAGGCCTATTTTGAGTGTGAGTTATGTGCATATTCTGTTTTGTGTTGCTTTGTATATTTGTAATTTTTCTGTCGGTGTCAATATTGACAAATCAAATCAGCCGTGACATATTATTATATTGCTACGGCCGATATAGTTCAGTAAATGGAGGAACAAGTTTGACGTCAATAGTCGAAGTGCTTAAGTAGTTGAACAATAACTGATTTTTAACCTAAGGCTTCGTAATTGTGTCTAAGCCTAGAAACCAGTGTTCAACTTAACACTATAGGCCTATTCAATACCTGTTGCGGTTTAGCCATTGGAATTCAAATTATGATAGCGTGTGGAGCATGACCTTGCTTTGCTTTGTGGAAAAAAATCAAGTTCAATAAAAAAAAAAGTTCAGTAAAAACCTTCAAGGTCATATTTCATTTTTTACAGCACTTTGAATTCGAAGAATTAGTAGACAGACCCGTATACCCTGGATTCTTAAAAGGGGTTTCCCACATTATCAGAGCCGAATGATATAGGGGAAATGCCCTTGGGGGGTACAGAAGACCCCCTGGGTTAGGGCAAAATTCCCCTGAAGCAGACAAATGATGGGTGGTGAATTTTATCGTTATTTTGATGGTTTTTAAGGTTTTTAATGCAAAGGACGGGGTGGTTTGGTTTATGAGATCGGAGTTTGCTCGAAAATGGGGTTCAGTCAAACCATAGAAACCCATGTTTACGGGCCTAGTGGATAGGCATAGCAATTCTACCGCAAGCTATCGGAATAACAGTGGTATCAATAGCTTCGTGAACACCCATATTCTTGAATTGCATTAGGACTACTCTATACGTATCCATATGTGCTTGTCCACCTTTAACAAAAGTCTTCGTTCAACAGTGACGGGTCTTGGATTATTTTATCCGGGGGAGTGTGGGTGAGTGGAAATCGAGGATAGTCCGAGAAGATGACTGACATATGGTTAGCCGAGGCGGTTGGTTAGTGATGTTCCCTTACCTACAGTAATGTGGGCACTGGGGATTATGGCCACCGGGGCTCTAGAATTTTAGCCATTGTAATCTTCTTTCTTATTAATTTCACACATCTCAGAGATTTTTTATTTGCGGATGGCGGGCAGATGGCGCCCCTATCGCATCTACCTTATCTGC